CAGACTTCAAGATAAGACCAGCACCTTTAAGGGCCCAATGGATGTCGTCTCCCAAGTGATCAAGAAGGAGGGCGTTTTAGGATTGTACGCTGGCATGGAGGCAACTTTTTGGAGGCAAGTTTCTCTCAAATCCTACCAGAGAACATGGGAATGGAACGGAGTACGGAATCCCACCAAAAGCGGCCCGGTCTCGTAGCCGGGTGGTTTGTATTCTAATTCCGGGCCACCTGACCCTCTTGTACTCCGATACCGACCGATACTAACACTAATCGGTCTTCTAGGCATCTTTATTGGAACGGAGGCTATTTCGGGTGCATCTTCCAGGTGCGGGCATTATTGCCCAAGGCAGAGGTTCGTCACTTCCCTATGCCTTTCCCCCTGCATCTGTTCAATGTCCCGCGCAGAACCAACAATCTGAGCTCCTGAACAACTTTATCTCTGGCTCCATAGGAGGATTTGCTGGAACTGCTTTGAACACTCCGTATGTCTTCTTTCACCTGACATGCTCACTGCTCACCGCTCTTCCATAGATTCGACGTAATGATTTATCTCAGGATCAACTCCGGCTTCAGCTCATTAAATTTTTATTCATAGGTTGTTAAGTCCCGTATTCAAGGTGCTGCAAAGGTTCCTGGTGTTACCCCCAGATATAACTGGACATACCCTGCTCTGGTCACCATCTTCAGGGAAGAAGGTCCAGCAGCTCTGTACAAAGGTTTCGTCCCCAAAGTGCTCCGTTTGGCTCCCGGAGGAGGAGTACTACTGCTTGTCGTAGAATTCACGCTGGGGGTCTTTAGAAAAGGTAAGCTTTTACATTGATCTAGAGTTCCGGGTTCTCACAACTGTCCTTCCTTTCCTAGCACTTGGACCGCCTTACATATAGGTATAGGAGAGTAGATGAATGATATTCACGTTCAAATTGATTTGATTCATCGAACAGTAATGTTATTATTATATAGGCATAGTACGTGTGGGCCTGAGATTTCATACGGAGAAACTGAAAGTCAATCCTGTGGTCTGTACGGGGAAGGAGGTACGGGGTGCACTGCCCTTAGGCGTTAGGCGTAGGGCTAACCCCTCCGTATAACCACCGGCACTGTTGTGGACCACATCAAAGTGCACTGCGTGTGATTGATCTAGCTTGTCTACAAGGAGCTACGTAGCAATAAATAACATGAAACTTCGGACTTCTTTGTGGATGATCTCTGTAGGAATTATAGCTACGGATCAAGGACTGTGTACTGTAAATGAAAGCGACGATCCGACCTCTGCTTCTCCTGCTCCGCGTTCCTGGTGACTAGCCGTCAAAGTGAAACGAGCTTCAGTGGTCCTTGAGTTGCCGTGAATATTAAGTGGCCGGCTTGAAGGGCGCGTGCGGCGGAGGCTGTTTTTTTTTTTTGTACGGATTATGAACTTGATCCATGACTAGGATCGGATATTTTGTCATGATCGGTGAGAATTCGACGTCACTGTCGTAGCCAGTCTTTTCTCCAGCTCGGGCCTGTAAATAGTAAGTAATCAATAGCGGCGGACAGAATTTCCCGAAGAATACAGTACTCTTTAGTGAGCTTGATGGCCGCAGTCCGCCGTCAATGCGCCGCTCTTGCCACAACTGGAAAAGCGGGAAAGCGGTGCAGCAAGTGGTGAAACATTGACGTCTGTTGTGTCCGGTTATAGTTACGAGACGGTCACGTTTGACCAAAGTCGTTCAAGAGAAGTCGAGTCAAGGGTTTTGACTTACAGTTATACTCCCATAGTCTGATTGGGAGACTTCAGGTCGACAAATTTCTGTCGAAATCGTTTACGTTACTGCTGACAGTGATGACAGAAAGAAGCAAGAATAAGCCATATAAGCAATGTGTACCAATTCCTAGCGTTCATTATGTTCTTGGTGTACTCAGTGATGAGAAAACTTTACCTCGCACTATTGGTGATTGACAATTATAACGGAATAGTGAAAATCAATGCACTGCAACAACTCTCGTAACCCATGAACATCTAGAGAGAACAAAAGAGCGTGGTGGTAGTATTGGTATACAATGACAGTGGAGCTGTTACCTATCAAAAACAAGATGGATGCACTGCGGAACGAATGTGTATGAGTGCAGATCAGGTACCAGCTTGTCTGCGATTAGATGCATGGATATGATGAGCAAGCAGTGGGGGGGAGACCAAAAATACATGTACAGTATGAAAAAACCTCGAAAACACCACAGTATCCCAATACAAACCTGTATGCCCCAGTCAGCACATCCATACGTAGGCTAATGAAAGGGACTTACGAAATAGTTCAAAACCGCAACGGCATGCGTCTACGCGGCAGCCCCTCTGGCAGTCTCGGGACAGGAGGAATCTCAGACCCAGGCAACTCCCTCCCGTTCTGATCAAACATGGCCTCAATTCTCTTGACGAACCTCTGTCTCGCCGCTTCGCTCTTCTCGAGATCCATGAGGCTGGCTCGACTGTCCCCACTCCATGTGCTGAGTCTCCCCATCGACGACGCTCCACGGTCCAACTGGTACATTGCTGACCGTCCCACACTCCTGTCCTCCTCTTGATACCGCGAGTAGTCGTCCGAATCATAATCATCAATTTGATTATTCCTGTGCATAGCTTCCGGGGACTGATTACGGTCGAGAGCAACGCGTATGTCTTCCCCAGAACTCGAATGATCCGATGTCCGCTTAAACCGAGCAATTACATCATACATAGGGTCTGTATCATCGTCGGCGGGCTGTTCCTCGCGCCATCCGTTACTGTTAGGTAGCGCGTACAAATCTCTGTACCGCCGCACCTTGACACGTGCTTCAAGCCCTGGTTGGTTGGCCGAGGTGTTGATAGGGCGCGAAGGGAACGGTGCCTCTTTCCCTCTCTTCGGGACGGACGAAGGTGAAACAACATACTGGCTGTTCTGACGCTGCTGCACGGCGAAATAACCCTGGTCTTGGTCCCTAGGGACTCTCGGCAAGGGAACCGTTGGGGGAGGGCTAGGCGGGGGAAGTTCGTGATGAGATAGTAGGTGAGTCGGCGGGGGCTGCAGTGGTAACGGGAGGGGGGACCGTGATCGTGGAGATGGAACAATGTAATGCATGGATGGTACCACCTCTCCGGAAGCACCAGAGCGACTACTTGGTGGTCTGGATTCTTCATTAACAGTCAGGTGGCCTGAATCTGAAACCGAGTATTTGGGCGTTGACGTTGGTCCAGTTCCCGGTACAGGAGAATTTACGCGTCGTGACAAAAAGTAAGGACGCGGTTTGCTCGGGGAAGGAGCAGGTAAAGGTTCAGCGACGGGGACAGGTGTCGGGATGGTAACGTATGGCGACCAACCTCCCGCAGATACCGGGGAAATATCCGGCGACTTAGACGCGCCGCGCCCAACGTTCTCGGGATAGAGAGGCTCGGGAATAAGCTTGTTACCAGACTGGTGTCTTTGAATAAGCGTAGGTGACGGCGGAGATGGAGAACGAGTAAGTGGGTACGAAATAGGAGGATACTTATTCTGAGACGTGGAAGAGGCGAAGGAGGATGCAGTGAGCTTGGAAAAGATGGAATGGCTAGTACTTGAGCTTCCATGGTGATCACTGCTGTCACTGCTCGCGAAATTAACGCCGACCCGTCTCGTGGATTTGTGAGAGGTTGTGCTATGGGAAACGCTCGGAGCTACCGCGTGGTCAGCAGTAGACTCCGGACCATCGATAGAGTCCCTGTCAAATTCTCTGTACCCGTTGAACGTGGCGATGGAAGGTGATGGCGTCGAAGAAATTGTAGAGGTATCATTGGAGGCATATGGTAGTACGGGTGGAGGCAACGGTGGGTCCATGTTTGCACCAGCATTAAGATCTCCAAGCGTAGTAGCAAAACGAGCAGCAATAGGAAGACGGAAAACAGGTAGCGGCTCAGGAAGAGGTGGTGGAGACGGCTCGTGGAGATTGGTCTTAGACCTCGTGCCCAGCCGAAAAATCCTGGACTTGGATTTTTTTGGCGTCGTCGGCGCAGCAGATGCATACCCATCATCAGTTTCGTACCCCGTGCCAAATGATTTCTTCTTCTTCAGTAGCTTTGTGCGAGACCGTCGCCCGTTGGAAGGGGGGATGGAGTCGGTCTCGTAATGACTGGCGTAGCCTTGGTCGACATTGTCGACGGCTGCCTTATTTCGTCTCCGTTCATCGTCCCTCGACATGGAAAAGAAAGACTGGAAAAGAGTGTAGTGGAAACAGTGAAAACTGCCAAAGCCAGCCCGGGCAGTGAAGAAACGAAATTTAACCTTGTAAAGTGAGATACCTTCCATATTGACCAAACTGACGTCACAATTGTGACAGGTTCCAAATCGGAAAGCCATCGAAGGGTCGTAATACCATGACAACGTACAACATCTGTCTCCGCCTGTTCCTTGCCGGTAAAGAATATGTAAAAAGTATAGACAGCAAGCTCCTCTCTCTGATATCCTCAGTTACTCCCTGAAAACAGAGCTATTGCACGGGGTTATATTCGGCGAATATCCGAAGGTATCAATTTCGAACGTTCTGGTGGAAGAATGCACGCTGCCAGTCGGCGCGGTTCTCTTCTTTCCTTATCTTTTCGTAATTTTCAGATGCGTTTCAAGCGCCTGTACGTTGTTTGTTTAACTTCGATACTGCGTTGCGCTCTTGGACAGTCCTTCTTAATGTAAGTACTCGTCTTCAGAACAACCTATTTTCTGACACGGCAGATACTTAACTGTTCCTGGATTACGGCAGAAGCATGGAATGAAATCACTTTTCATTGATATCTCTCATAACAAACGCTTCGCGTGGTAAGATTTCGCCTGCATTGCGTAGCTATAGGGCTCACTTCTCCAATTCAATACAGATGAAATTTCTTGTTCTTTATTGGGGATCATGAGGTAACTTCAAGTCGGTCCCGACGAACTCGACAGACGTCCGGTCATATATGTATACGGCGGTCGGGGGATTCGCCGCTTTATGCTCTAGTACGTAGACTCCAGTTCGAACGCAAAGTCATTTCGCAATTGAACGAGGATTTGAGAAACCATTGTTGAAATCTAAACGCAGCAATAGCCGTTCAACATGTCGACGAACGTCCGCCGGCACACCCTCTGACCCTTTTGCCATCTTCGAAACATTATAGCTGGTATAGTTAGCAACGCTCGTGTTCATGAGTATCGATTTTGATGTGTCCATGGTCGTGAATGGCTGCTGCGACGTTGATAACGAGAGTTGATCATAAAATGAGCCTAATAAGCCATGAAGCGTCTGCGTTTTTTTGCTTCAAGTCAGTAGCACGTAGAAATATCATAGAAATGCGACATTACCTCCTTGATCTCAAAAACAATCTGATGACGTTCCTTCACCATTGCACCAACCTCCTCGTCCTCCCCTTTCAAACTACCCAGACTCGGCCTGTCACACTAAAGAAGCCCTTCGGGTGCAAAATATTGGTAAATGGTACTAACCGGTTGGTCGTGCATTGTCGCAGATATGTCACAACTGCGGTCTCTGCCCTAGTCTCTCGAGGGGAAGGGGGATTCGGCGCAATGACAAGTAACATAGACTGATTCACACGTTGGTCTAAACCCCTTTTCCCCGTTCCTGCCGACACGAAGGCAACAGTGATGGCGGAGCGTAATCGTTGTGCCTTGGCGCCCTCAAAGTATTCTGCTCGATTCTTGCTACGCGCATCATCGATATCGTTACAGGGCTCTACGTGATACCACCACCGCAGTGCCACATATATATATACCTTAACGCCAAATGCTCGTGGCTACGAACAGCCTCCCTGGATCTACTTCTCATCATGATCAAACACCGAGTTAGGCATATCTGTCTTTAGACCAAAAACATACAATCCCCCGAACTTTAACAAAAGGAGGGGCTTCCAGCTGATCCGATATTATGTTCTAGGAACGCTTTCCATCCAGTTAACGTACGGTCAGTTTTAACAGTCTATTCATTAGAATTGTTCATCAACTGATGATTCTACGTATAGTAGCATTCAGATTTTGTGACACCGATTGGTGCGCAATAATGGTTGACGAGAAATTCAATGCGAAACAATCTCTGTGCACATTTTATCCATTCTTCCCAGCGTCGGCTCCTGCGCTCTCTCAGGTACAGTTTCCTCCAGTTCAACCTTACTTACCTGCCGCGCTACTCGGCCGGGCTCTGTTTTTCCCAAGTCCAAAGCTCATCGTTCTCTTCGCACGGATGGCATTTGTAGAAGTGTGTTGACTCAGTCCATTTCTCCGGGGGAAAGGTACAGTGATAGCGATGATGGTTACTTTACGCTGATTTCCTTCCGCAACCATCGGTTAGCTAGCCGTGCAATTCTAAAACCCTGCATGAAACCTTTGCTACTGTTTTGACCACCTATCTGATTATTTGTGTCCGTCTCGACATCGGGAACATTCCTAACGCATCTCTTGACTTCAAGTCCACAACAATCAAGGTCCGGTTCAACATCACATGAGATTTTTTTTTTATCACTATCCGAATGTAGGAAAAGCCGCAGCTGCATTGAGTTGAATACTAATAGTTCAGTAGTTCGGGATCAAGGTCCAAGGTCGCCGTGGTTCTCGGTAAGTTCTCGGATACCTCCTAGACCCACGCGAGACTCGAAACTCAGCTACCTAGGCCCTGGCTCATGTTGGATCACTGCGAGAAGATTAATCCCAGACGGCGGTGTAGAGCACCGTTCCGACTTCATGCAGACTGCTGTTGCATATGCTCGCAGCCGGGAGCTTCAGGTCTGTAGATTTACACCACTTAATTTTGCAAGTCAGGGACAGTCCAGGGTGACGAAGATTGGCATCAGATGCTACATGTTTTTCCTGGTGCAAGTTGGCAAAGATTGTCCAACCCAGCGTTCCGAGGTCGAACTTAGGTCTATGCACATCTCCGCAGGGTGGGTGGATGCTTCCTTGGTCTATTTTGGTCGAAAATATTTAAAGGCCTACTGCTGTAAGGCCGCGATAGACCATGTTACGGGTCTTGTGAGTATCGTTCCGAGCGATTCTCTTTAAGTCCGAGCTTTGCGGTGCGAGTGATCTTCCCACCTCTTTGAGTTCGCGGCGGTTCTGAAATTTCTGCAGTAGCAATCATCCCGATGGCGGTCCTCTTACAGACACCAACAACCTTTCCTCCGATTCCCAGGCAGCTTATGTCAAAAGCTGCTTGAACAGATACCCAGTCGGTTCAAAGAGCAATCTGACTTGGATGATTCAGAGAAGCACAAGCACCTACATACCCATTGGTTTTCACAAGGCTCCTTTGTCCGTTATCTTCCGGCCGAGTCACTCAAAGAAATATTACTTTACACACTCGACAACAACTTCGATATTCTACGATTCACGGATGGATTTTACGTGCTGTCGCACGTCTGCCGTAGCTGGCGAGCAGTGGCCCTGGCCTGTCCAGAGCTCTGGACAAATTTTGTGCTCCTATGAGCGGATCTGACCCACCCTCGCATCACCGGTCCGATCTAACGGTGTTAATCCGGTTAGCCCAGCACCCGGTATCCATCTTCCATACTTCACAGAAGGCTACAACGACAACGAATTTCTTTTACCGATGCTTGCTCCGGGAATGTCTCGCCAGAGGAGTGCCCAGTGCTTCATTACTTCCAACGTATATTCGCCCTTTATCGAGGTGAAGGGCCGTTTGCACCAATTGGAGTGTATTGACCTTATCTTGGATATCGATAGGACAGGCGGAGAATCCTACTCACTTGGGAACACTACCGGCCTCCGAGATGTCACAAAATCTGGGACACACGCGCAAAGTAATACTAAACTTGTTCCCCTGGTTCCTGTTGAGACATTTTGCACAGAAAATATATGCAGCATCGACCATTTCATCCAACTCTGGATTAACACCCCCAACCTTGAGGTCTTAGAGATCCTATGCATCGAGTGGCACTACCCCCAAGATGCAAAGAGTCTGGCTATCTATGATTTGCCGCTCATTGCGTCTGTGGGATCTAAGGTTACTTGACTACTTGATTCTCCCGGCTTTAGAGAGTCTGGATCCAAACCTAGATAACGGAGGTTTATATGCTTCCGCATTGGAAGGTTTCATTCAACGTTCGGAGTGCGGGCTTACACGATTGAGCAGTGCCGGGGGAGACCCCAAAGAACACTTCAATGCTCTCCTAGCCGCAAGCGCTATCACGGATCTGACCATTGAGGAACCATTCAGCGGACGAGAGAATAAAATCCATTGTTTAGAATGCTTACCCTTCACGTCCCGGAAAACGTGCTGCTTCCGCGCTGGGAACGTTTCACTTGGATTGCCGATATTTCATCGTTCTTATTTGATGGACATTGTTTGATGGAGATTACAGAATCACTGCGAGTATCTGAGGGAGTTGGATCGCTATTGCGGTTTGTGAGAGTAACATGTCAGATGTGGAGATCAAAGTTGACTGACGCGGTGTTGGACCGGTTGGAGATGATGGGAGAGGAAGGATTAGATGTGCACATTACGCTGGATGGTAGGCAAAAGTGGACACTGTCTGCAGGCGGTTTACTGATGCGAGACTTAGATAACACTGTTGACAAGACATGGCTTCCGATTGGTCACTAGTAATCCAAATTTGCGTGGCTACCTTCATGATGCAAAAATCGAGCACGGCAACTGTCTGAGATACCAATCCGAGCATTGAGCTGCTGAGTGCATAGGAATACTTAGGGCTTACAAACATTTTGAATTGCAGAGCCTACCTAAGTGTATACCCTGGCAAAACTCGTTACGGACGATGCCTGTTGGACTTGGTAGTTAGATGTCAGTTTCTATTTTTAATGGATCATGTCCTGTGCCGAGTGAACTTTTGGCCCATGTGCTCCCATAACCTTTTTACAGGATACTTAGTGACGCGACAAAGGAGGGCACCGTATCGTGACCGAAATATGGCTGATCGACCTTCAAGTTAGACGAATTCTAGAAGTCGTAGTTCGTAATATGGACTTGGTTGGGAATGATTGTTAGGCGTCCTTCGCGCATCCTTTGCTTTCTGGAATAAAGTGAACTGACATCGTACGAGATATAACGTCAGGAGACCGACCTGGTACGATTACGCAAGTCATACAGCATATAACAACCGGCAAGGGTGCGCGAAGAGGAGTCTCGAGGCGAATCATCGATAAGAAACGCGTTCCTGTTAACGCCGCGGCTACCTCTAGGCAAGCAATAACAATCGGGGCGCGGTCATACGTGGGATTACGCTTGGCCTTGTGCTCGCTCCTGTCGGTCGAGAATCACCAATATGTCCTTTGCTCAATACTTGAAAATATCCGAGACTCTTCAAGTTTCGGCTGGGGTAGAAATTTCGGTAACGATACTTGATAGACATCTGAATTGTACTCCAGGTTGACTGGCTCCGAGCTTGGACAGAGTGGCGTAAGTATGCCTTCCTTGCACATAAAGAGCATAACATTAAGACGCTTCTGAGTCAGGTTGTGTAATATCTAAGCAGGCAAACCAAGTCGTGGCCACTTTAGATCGACAGAGCGGATATCAGTCACGACCGGTACCGTTGTTATAGAGACATGGAGCATTCGACACTGCGGGATGCGGTAAGCCCTGCTCAATGTCGTACAGAAATTGAGCTTTCTGAATCCCAATCACTGGCAACTTAAGCACGTGTGCTCCAAATTGTTACCATCTTGCGCTAGCGTTCTGGTAACCGCCATTTCCAGCATTTTATCAGTATAGTAGCAACACCTGACACGTACCTGGTAGAGGAGATGAATGCAGGGTCGCGGAGCATGAGACTCTTGTCACTGGCTGTGAATATAATGGGCTTCGCAGGAATATGATAAAATACTCACACCTCTAACAGCAGCACCGTAAGAATAGCCATCCTCTGAGATATATCGTAGGTGTATCGAAAATTTATGGACTGTGATAGAGACCGTCGACACGTTGGTTGATGCGATCGTTTGAATCATTGAAATATGTCTGTCCGCCGAACCGTGACAGGCCTACATCTAGGCTGGAAGAGCCATCAGGCCAAGTAAGATTGTTGAGTTACGTTGATGTAACGACGACGATTGAATACCTTGGCTTGTGTTGGCCTGTCCTCGAGATACTGATACCGAGTTGCAGTATTATGTGGACCCCTTTTATCTTTTCGAGTGAAACCGGATCTTCAATAATCATAGGCGCGGGACTAAAGGCATCAGCGTTGTTTGCGCTTCAAGGTCCATAAACCTTGGAGTTACGATGATAAAAGAAAGGAAACCAACCTAGCGTTCATGTTTGCTTCTTTGTGAGACAGGCAGGAAGGTATAATTGAACGTGATCGCCATTGAGCAAAGTTACGGTTGGATCATGGATCTTGTTTGTCGGGCAAGAACCTAGGCTCAGCAAATTCTTCTTCATTAAGCATGACACGCTTATTGAACATCATCATCCTCGATAGCCGCTGGTGACCGGTGAAGCCTGAAAGTGAAGGGAGAAAAATAGCAGCGATGTTGGAACTTGAAGTGCAAGTTCGACTCCATCTGGGGCCGGCAGTTTCCGGCACGGACCTACTTTCTCTCTTGCCACTTAGACCTTGCTTGGACCATCCGACATTAATATTATTGAGTTCGTCAAATTTATTGGACAATACACCGAGCGGTGCTACAATATATTAGAGTACTAAATACCTACCGTCTCTTCTGCACCACTGCTTTTTACATCCATCAAAAAATACTCACTCACCCAAAACTCCCTAGCATATTTTGTCTCAGACTACAAAGCCGCCATGGCCATGTCAATCTTTGTTATTTGTTCCGTATGTCTCGCATTCGTTCTCTCTTTTTCATATAAAATGTCGCCTTTTGAAGTTCTTCTCAGCCGACACACTGCCGCATATCTGCATTATGTCTTCTTCAGGTTTCTCTTCCTCGCCTGCTGTTTTCCCCGCTTTTGACCTCTCGAAGCCTCAGGTCTCAGGACTGGGATGGTGAATTTGTTTCTGACGACAGTACAGTTCTCGACGTATGCTTTCTGACTGTCAATTGTGGACCTTTTCATTGACTTTTTCTTTCAGTCTTCCCTTTCCGATGATTCTCCGCCGCGCACCTCTAAAATTGCACGTCCTAGGGTTCGACGTCGCCTTCAATTTGTTCCTTGCGAGATGCGAGTCGCAGATGCAATTGTTGTTGTCCCGCCTCATACATCCCCGTTACCATCTGATGTCCATAGAGGATGCGATGCAGCGCGTGCTCAAGTTCGGCAAGGTCTCAGAGGGCACACGGATACTTCCCTACCGTAGGATTGAAATGACATCAAGACAGATACTTTAATCGCAAATCTTTATCTT